AACATCTTAATGATTACGCTTCCAAACTCAGGACAATTACAAAATCGTTTGGTCCGAGTCGATAAATCCAGCTTCAGTGCGCGCTGAACGAAATCACACTACTAAGCTACACGTGTTTATACGACGGGTAGAGCGATGAGATTGGTTGATCACCGGTTCAAAAAGGGATGCGGATTGGGTAAGCCTCAAGGGCATGTGAAGTTGGCCTGTGCGGCGCGTTTAACAACTGAATCACAGATGCACATAGACAAAGGAGGAAATGATCAGACAGGCTCGTCCGGTGGGGACAAATGTTCAGCGGACAGGTATAATCGGTGAAGGGTGAAGGTCACCAAACGACCCTAATCGGTGCAGTGCAACGTGTTGACGGCCGTAAACAAAGTTAGACAAATGTGTAAAGGCAAGTTAGGATAGTGAGAATGCGAGGTGATAACAGACTTAGAGAACGTAGGGCGGAACAAGGCGGAGATGGGGTTTCACGACAAAATGGGGAAGTATAGTTGTAATTTTTGGTAGAGGAAAGGAATATGTAAGGGAATTGGGATCGCGATGTCCGAATATTCTCTACAACCTTCAACCTCCGAACTCTGTGTGTCAGATCGGTCAAAATGTAATAGAACGAAAGATCATCTGGTAAGCAATTGCTTTCAATGATTCATCATCAGACCATTACAATCATATGGAGGCTAGAAATAAAAATCGACCCAGTTAGTTCAAAACGACTTGATCACCTGAAGGTCCATGTCAGAGTGAAGAAAACCAATTAGGTCTTGGAGGGCTAGTTGTTTGTTGCCGCGTCTGACCGAAGGCAGTCGACCTGGGCGTCCTCGCTCCTCGCTGGCCAGGGAAGCTGGAGAGCTCGGACCAGCTTCTTCTGTGAGCAATCGAGTGCAATATTGCTTCAGCTTTTGCAAGCGTATGAAGGCGGTAACCTTTCGTTCGGTGCGGCGGAACCTTGTAAACTATTCGGAAGGCGCATTTCCAATCCACCTCATAGCCGGTGTCCACACTGTGGGCCAGAATGGCGCTACTAATGGTCCAGGCGCTCCTAGACGCAATCAACGAGGTCAATGTTTGTTCACGCGTTTGGCTAACAGCCGCGCCGTTCGACCACTATACGTCACGCCACACGCGCACACGAATTGATAAATTACCATTGAGGTGGTCAGCATCGGCATCTTGTCCTTGTTTTGTGAACGAATGAGTGGTTCCGTTGAAAACACGCACTTCAACGGGGCTGCTGGAAAGGTCGACTTTACTGCGGCCGAAAGGTTTCTGGTTAGACGCTCGGTAGCCGCGTCCCGATGGTAATTTATCAATTCGTTTGCGCCTGTGACGCGACGGCGGTTATCCAAACGCGTGAACAAACATTGCCCTCGTTGGCTGCGTCAAGGGGCGCTTGGACCATTAGTAGCGCCATTCTGGCCAACGTTGTGGACACCGGCCATGAGGTGGATTGGAAGCGCGCTTTCCGAATAGTTTACAAGATTCCGCTGCACCGAACGAAAGGTTACCTCCTTCGTACGCTTGCGACAGCTGAAGTAATATGCATTCGATTGTTCCAGCTTCCCTGGCCAGCGAAGACGCCCAGGTCGACTACCTTCGGTCAGACGCGGCAGCAAACAACTAGCCCTCCAAGATCTAATTGGTTTTCTTCACTCTGACATGGACCTTCAGGTGATCAAGTCATTTTGAACTGATTGGGTCGATTTTTCTTTCTAGCCTCCATATGATTGTAATAGTCTGATGATGAATCATTGAAAGCAATTGTTCACCAGATGGTCTTAAATGGGAATTTTCAACAAAATGTGATACTTGCTCCTCCCCATTGGTCGGGCTTGCATCCGTATGACACACGCACTCAACATAATGGCGTCATAATGCAGCTTGGACTATTTGGCTCGGACCTTATTGAAGGCCACTGTTTTCTTCATCTCTCCAACGACACGGATTCACAGAAGCTGGAGTTAGTTGCAGTGTAACGGCCAAACAGTTATACTTGACTAGTTTCTAGTACCTATCCTCTTGCGCGTTATCTCATCACATCACCGCCCTTGAACTAGAACTCGACCACATCCCAGGGTGTTTGTCTATAGAATTTATTGAGCTACACCGAGTGATGCTTTTCAGGCGCTACGAGCTCAGTCTCATCACCTCATAAGAAGTTAGACGGCGACTGGTGACAGTGGATAGTGTGCGAATGATAAGCTCGGCTCGATTAACTTTGACTACAGTCTCCGCATGGCATCACACCTTCTGGTTTGCCGGTGTGTAGCTCCACATAGTCAAAAAGGCACATTGCTTATCCGGTCCTTCTAAAGTTGAGTGCGACCAGCCCCCAGTTCTTCGCAGTACTCTATAGCCGCAACCCCTGACTCGGGCTTGTTTTCCACCTCTTTATGGATCAATCCATTGAACCAAAGACTATAGATTTGTCTAAGTTCCTGTCTTGCAATAGACTACCGGGCCTATGCTAACGACACATCTAGCCACCCTCCAATCGAAGGGTCTTAGTTTGCTTCGACTCTTTCATTGTCCATCCTTTTATTGACTTCCCCAACTGAAATCTCGTCTTCTCGCTTTTTATTGGTCTCTTGCGATTGACTTGCATTGTCTCTACAACCTACGTGTTAGTCAGTAATACCGTAATCAATTTACATTATTGCTCAGCGACTTATAGCTGCGGTAGTCACGTTCTTTGTGTCTCTGACCATACCGTGACGTCGTGATTGACCCCCGCGTAACGATTGAAGATGATAAACTGATGCAGCTTGCTGTGCTCTGCCGTTTCCAAGGCTGATTACACCTGCATTTGTCTGTTCTCTTTATGTAGTGCTAGGACGCTGCCAAAATGCATATGGCGTTGTGTGAGAGCGCATATGGCCGACGCATGAGTGCTGTTACCCAAAAGTTCAGGTGACCATGAGCTGAGAGCAGACGGCGGACGCGGTGCACGCATCGGCCCCACGGAACGCAACAATTTCTTTTTGTTCAAAATCGGGAGAATTGGCGCGTGCACCAGATTTGAACATTGCTCGATAGAGGATTCTTGATGTAATCAGTGGTGCGTTCGTTGCAACTGCTTCCAAATCATCTGATTCTTTACATGCACAGAAATTCACCAGCTGGCCGTTTCGTCCCATCAGGACTCGTCATCAATGCGCATCCGTGGGCTTCAACAAAGTCCCAACCCATGAACACTGGCGGCTTGCGCCACCAATCAACAACTTAGGCTACTGAACCATGGAAACTGCCACGATGGACCCTCAGTTCATCACATCAAGTATCCCCCATTCATAAGTATTTCAAATAGTCGCCCTAGCAGTCTCTACACGCTGTCATACATAGCTATTGTCAGTAGAAGTCGTGTCTTTCGGGACTACGAGACTGGACCTTAACGTGGTGCGATGGTTTGTGCGCCTCAATAATGCCCATCTGTTACCGGTAGCTCAGCTGGCTTACACCAGTTGCTTTTCTTCCTTTTTTCTTTATATTGCGGCACAGTAGCTGAGGTGTTCCCCACCTCTGGCTAACGTGTATGATGATGATGATGACATTGCCCTAATCTGTGACAGCGCCCAAACGTGCCAGGCCGCATTGTACAGATAAGCACTGGTTGTCAATCGTTTTTGGACTTTTCTTTGCTACCACGAAATTCAAGGTCCTTTTTCAAGGGACCCACCGCTGCGCTGACACTTGGTGGGGATCAGCTAGAAGTTGTTCGGGAATCCAACTACCATGGCAGCAATATTAGCGCCTGTAGGATCGATGATCGGGTCACGAACAGGTGCTTTTGCCAATCTCCGCCACTGATGACGCCGACGCGTTATCACTCTTTCATTGAATGACAGAGTTGACAATGCAGTCGTCCTCTTTAGTCCTCCCATACGGTTGTGAATTCTGGTCCATCCGGTCGACAGATATAAATCATTTAGGTACGTTCGACTATCGCAGCTTAGCTCATGTTTTGTGGGAACACCGCGTGAGCGTTGAGCGTGCTCGGAGCAGGAAGAGCAAGTGAATCGCTCAGCACCATACTGTCACGCACCAGGCTCCCTTGGCTGGATCACGTGTTGCACAAGCCAGCACACCGACTCCCGCGTCATGTGTTGTTTGCGCGTCCAGAGTTTGGATGGAAGACGAAGAGAAGGGAAGGCCAGTCCTTGAACTTGGTCAAAAAGAATGAAGGCCCTTGGTTCGATGTTGGCGTCGGCTGAGGCCTGCCGGGCTGGGGTCCCAACAACGACGAATATAAACACGTCAGCCTTAATGGCGTTTGTGTTGTGAATATTTTCGCCCATCCCCTTTAGATTTTCATTCCAAATGCATACTGTGGTATTTTCCACTATATTACTTTTTGAAGTTTTTGTGGTGTGTAATTTAAGTATCATATCTTTTTGTATTGTGGTACATTTGCTGCGGTGTTTCTCACTCTCAGCAAACGTGTATTGGTGATGACGATATCTTTCGGGACCATCCGTGCCCTCTGCAACACTCGCAATTTGTGTGGGAGTGGGGGATTAGACGTCCTGTATCGCAGTTAGCTTATAGATCACGACAGTCCGCAGCTGTCCTCCATGGCTCAGCGGCATAAGTTGCTGACTGGTCGTCTGGGGCTTTTCCGGGCGTGTAGAACGCTGTCTGATTTAGAAGGTGCTGCGATGTACTCTCCGTTAACTGCAAGGCCACGTGTGTTCGCCGACTCATTTAATAATAGAACTCCCTGTGTGTGTGTGTGTGTTGCTTGCTGTGTCCTTCTTCGCACTTATCCCGTTGCCTGGTATTGCTCTTCAACATCATGCGACGTTGTTCAATCAATTTTCCAAGTGCTGATGGGCTGATTGGGTCTAATTGTGATATGTCCCATCTAGTCTCCAATCATCTGCGAACTCATGTAATGGAGTTCTTTTCACTAAAGCATTAGTTATTGCCGCGCTTATCCTCTGTTCGCGTTTTGTTTCCCATCACGAGTTTACTCTTCATGTTCGCTTTTTGCTCAGGCAATGGCTTACATATTATCCGGAATGATGGATTTGGGCGCAAAAGACTTCCAAGTCGAAGCGGCTATGAGCAAAATTTACTCCTCAGAGTCCGCCTGGTACTGCGTGGATGAAGCGATTCAAGTGAGTTCGACTTCCGTTACTCTGTTGCGCCACTCAACCCTCTTTTATGCCGTGCTCAGTTTCCTCTATCGGGTCCGTCAGTGATGTAACTCCACGACGCAGCATTGATGGCTCGCGTACAACCACGCCACTATTTCAGAGGCATCTTGACGAATTCTCCTGCCTTTTTATCTCAGTTAGTGTCCCTTTGAGTGCGAAAATTCTACTTTCCATATGTTGCAATCACAAGGCGGTTACTTCTGGTTACTGGCAAGTTCACTCGACATGGGGGAGTTACCGTATATTACCGAATATAAGCCGATGATTTTGAGACAATTTTTCATCTCTGTAGAGGTGGTCGACTTCTAAGAAGGTTATACGCAATTCGCAAATTGTCACATGCAAAACCTACCCAGGAATTCACTACTCACCTCTGCCCCAATCTCCCGTTAGCACTATCACCCGCTAGTGATGAACGGCGTTCCACGCGGGGAATTTGAAGTGCTTCATGTTTTTTCGTACGGGGTTCCGTGACTCCATAACCCACTGTGCTAACTTTTCCTCTAGTTCAGGGAACATGATTTTTCTACTGCGTGTTGCTTTCTTGCCAGCGAACATTAGTGACCTTCCTAAATTTTTCTTTCGCCATGCTCTCACTTGCTTTACACTCACGATGAAGTGGTGCGCAACTATAAATTCTTGTATTGTTCAGCAAACACGGTAACTTACAATTTAAAGCCAGCGGCGTATGTGCATCGTTTCTGTTGTGACATTTTTTCATGTTTCCACGGCTTTGGAAGATCTTACGAAATGAGTGCATATTCCCTCCCAGTTGGATCCTGCAAGGCACATTGCCACCAAAAAGTACCGCAATTGAATGATCCGCATACCGGACTGGGCCGAGGCTTCATCGCACATAATACATGCATAAAAGCAGCCCTAAAACGAACACAACATATGATAAACAGGTGATGGCTCATATGCTACTAAGCCACACCGACACGCGGCCAGGTATAGCATGGAAGTGCGGGCGAAACTTTTCGAGGGAATACCTTGCATGGAAGCAGGTCCCCTGGGAATGGTTCCACGAGTGGCCGTATTACTTTACCTGAACATTTGTTTAGATCTGCCTGTTATTGTTCCTGGCCTTTTAATTTCTTTACTACCTTAAACCTGCAAATTACTTCAATGCCCGTTTAGATTCATGGTATAAAGCGTGAACAAATTGACTATTTTTTGCGATCCTGCTGTACACATTGGTCAGACAACACAGTTTGACTGCACCTCGCATCGCCGGTTAATATACCATTTATTCATTTATTTATTAGTGCTATTTTGAGTAGCGACTGAAAAGCGCTTATGCATTACGGTCACCACAACTGACCAATAGTAGAGCAGATTTTGCTGAACGCATTTAAGTGAGAGTAGGTAGTGATGACGTCAACCTCGTGGAGAAACAATTTCGTTTCTCTTTTTGCTGATTTTTGAGGGATCGGTTAATATAGGGAATTCCGACTTTGAACAAATTTGATATTGCAAAGTTCTGCTGTCGGCCTATCAATGGACGGGCATTTTTCCTAAAATTCTACATTCGACCATTCCTGTAATTTTCACCATGGCTTCCTGCTCTTTCGGATTAATTGACTATGACTTAGATTCACCACAGCCCGGAAAACCATTTGACTGCTGTTTCGTTCTTTCCGTATTAGTCCCTTGCATACATCTCGTTTGCCAAAATCCAGCGTAATTGTACTATTATAATCTGTCTGCATCGTTAAGAAGACCAACAAAAGTTCATTGTGCCAGAAATGTCTGCGAAGTACCACCAACATCTGGGGATGTCGCAAGTCCATCGCAACATGCCTCTGTCATCATCTGGTGGTTGGCGACGGAACAGTGCACTGTGTCAAGCTTGAACTAGCTAGCTGGTCAATTCGATTTTTTCTCGCTTTCAACTGCCATTTACTCTTGCACATGTTATTGACCGAATCTGCACCTAGCTGCCTGAAACCCCGGTTTCACCAGGCGGTCCCGTGGCGAGATGCATGCGGGCGTTTCGGAATTGGCCAATCCAGTAAACAACACTTCTGTGTGACAGCTCAACCGCTAATGTCTTGATTCTGACACTTATCTCCCATTTTCCCTAATTTTTGGAATCCGAACCACCTACATCGTTTCATCATCATCATCATTATACACTTTAGCTAAAGGCGCAAGGTACCTCAGGTACTGAGCCGCAACACAAAAGAAAAAAGCAACTACAGGTGCACACCAGCTAAGCTACCAATAACAGATGGGCATCGTTCCTGAAAACTACTATCCGATTGCTATGTAGCAAAAAAACATTATGCAACATTATCTTAGGCTAAGAAGTGAGATCGTGTTTGGAGAGGAGGCTAAGAGGGATGGGGTGGGGCAAAGGAACTCACAGCACGAATGCCATTGTGGTCGGCTCCTAGCCATGTCAGCTAGTATATCCAACCAGAGGAGTTCATCGTCTTTCGGACCCCAATGAGGGAGCCGAGACACTCCGATCGAGGCCAGCTTCGAAGTGAAGACTTTCATTCTTCTCGACCAAGTCATCGTTTGGCCACCTCTCCTCTTCTTCCATCCACATCCCCGGCGCACAAACAACGCACGTCGCGCGAGTCGGTGAGCTGTCATGCGCAGCATGGGCTCAGCCTGGTGCTTGAAATAACAGTGCTGAGCGGGGTCCACTTCTACTTCTTGCGCCAATTTGCGAAGGCACCGGTGGTCGAACGTAACTAGCCTCTTTATGTCCGCTAATCTAAGGAGCCAGATTTCACAACCGTAGAGTGGGGTCGAACGTACGACTGCATTGTGCGCTCTACCCTTCAAGTAGAGAGTGATGTCGCGTCTGCGCCATAGATGGCGAAGGTTAACAAAAGCGCATCGTGCTTTTGCTATACGGTCCGTCATTTCATCTTCAATCCCACGGGCACTGATACAACTTCCAAGCTAGTTGCATTTTTGAATGACTTCTAGCTGACTATTACCAAGGTTCAACGCAGGAGGCGGTTCCTGCCAATCTTGGAGGAAAGCTTTGCAATTCAAGGGTGCAAAGCATAGCCTGAAACGGCTGACAACCAGTGCTAATCTGTCCAGTGTCGCTTGGTACGTTTGGGAGCTGTCACAGATTAGGGCAATGTCGTCAGCTCATTCCAAGTCAGGAAGTCGTTCTCCTGGGAGCAGATCCACACCTTTTAAGTCGTGTCCTGTGAACGCGATTTCCATGACTTCATCAGTAACGAAGTCGAAGAGGTAAGGTGACAGCGGGCATCCTTGCCTCACAACACTGGAGATATTGAAGGGCAGTGACAGCTTGCCACGAGTCCTCAGTCTGCCCAATCTACGCGCGTATAACGTTCAGATGATTTTTGCATATTTCTCCGGCACACCTTTCCTGAGTCGATAGTCCCAAAGGACACATCGATCGACCGAATCGAGGAACACGATAACGGTGGGCCGGCAGTATATGTGACCGTGCTCGAACACTTGACGCAAAGTGAAGATGTGGTCGATGCAATCTCGACCTCGGCGAAACCCTGCTTGCTCTTCACGAAACTGACTTTCACGAGTGCCAATCACTTTGGGAATCATGACAGGGGCAAGCAGTTTGGTAGCGATAAAGATCAGGCCGATTGCTCTACGGTTGCCGAATTCCAATCGTGAGCCTCCCTTGAAAATGGGGTCTATAGGAAAGTGGCCTCAGTCTGTCGAAACGGTTTCCTGCCCCACAGTTTCACTAGTAACTCGTGCATATCATCCACTAGAGTTGGGTCTCCGAATTTATAGAGGGCTGGAGATTGGTCATCTGGTCTCGCGGCTTTATTCATCTTCAACCGTCCGATCTCACGCTCGACTTCTGAGCGAGAGAGGGATCCAAAGAGACAGCCCACGGAGCAGGCTGATCAGTGGACGGCGAGAAATATGACCATTCCGATCGATTAATTTACCTTTCAAAGTGCTCAGGCCAATGCTTCAAGCGTTTTGTGAAGTTGTACTGGAATACCTGCGTCGATTCTGATCATGCCTTGGTACGCTGTCGTTTCTATGGACTTTACCGGAAGGCGCACCAAGCTTCCCCACCGATTGGCAACGGAGAAATTGTCCCAGCCCTCGGTCAGGCAAGCCTATCAAGAAGCACTGCATAGCGAACTCTCGCTGTCTTGTCCTAATGACACTGAACTTCAGTGGAATAGGATCTCGGCCGCTATGCACGACGCAGGAGCATCTGTTTGTGGCGCTATCAGTCATCACCGCACCAGTCACTGGATATCCGAGATGTCTGTGAACCTGTTGGAATCTGGAAGAAACCTCCCGGCTGGCTCTGAGCGCAATGTGACCACACGGGCTATTAGGCGCGAACTAAAACGGGGCTTACGCGCTGACAAAGAAGCCTGGTGGACCAGTCGGGCTCAAGAAATGGAGGAGGCAGGAGCAGTTGGCAATTACCGCAAGCTCTTTCAGCTGATCCGCACCGCTGGTCCCAGGAAACCAGGGGTCAGTGAGACAATAAGAGACAGCGCGGGTGCATTGATACACAATAAGGAGTGCCGTATGGCTCGTTGGGCGAAACACTTTCAAGATCAGTTCAGCTGGCCCCCTGCTCCCGGACCTCTTCCTACTCAGCTGATACAGGACGAGCCATGGACGGTTAGTTTTGAGCCCCTGTCGGAGGCCGAGATCCGAAATGCAATCCCAGCCCTTAATCGTTTTCATGCCGCTGTCCCTAATTCCCTCCCACCTGCACTATTTAAGGATGGAGGTGAGGTCCTCTGCAGGGCACTGACCTCCCTATTTGAACGTATCTGGAACGAAGAGAGTGTGCCAGCTAATTGGAGCGAATCGATTATAGTGGCGATATACAAGAAGGGCAGTTGCACAGACTGTTCGAACCACAGAGGTATTGGCCTAACGTCAGTTGTGACAAAATTACTGGCGTCGATTCTCGTTCCTCGCCTCACTGTAGAACGAGAATCTCGGATTAGGGAAGAGCA